TGAGGTTTATCTGTGTAATCTGTGGACTTGGTGTCTTCCCATCTCCTATTAGCATAGATAACGGAGTTGTCTGCATAATGATAAAGAGAAGCCCTCCGCAGGGTCCCATAAATCTCCACTGGCTTTTGCTGGCTTCCCTGGCTTGGATTCTAAGAACACTTCACTCTTACCATGTCAGTTGCCATCTTTTCCTCCAATTTGCTCCCATCCAGCCATAACTGCAAGACTCCTAAACTTGAGCTGAATATGTTCCCACATTCCCTGCTTCCTCCTGTGTTCCAGCCCAATTCCGCCAGCGTCTCAGGGGAAAAGCAAACTCTTATAGTCACAGCAAGATCTTACCGGTTCCCCCGAACAGCTTTCAAATTGGAAGCATTCCATAAGTTTACCTACATCAAGTCAAAACATCTGGGAACATTGAAACACAAATTCCCAAAGTAACTAGTATCGGCTTCCAAAAGACCCAAACAAGGCTGTGTTGAGGACTTTATTTTCTCAATGATCAGATAAAACAACCTATTGATCATTTTTTAAATTATTTTTTTAGATCTCCTGGTCCCCAGAAAGAACTCTGTAAACACTTCTTAGCCATACGCCCACAAGGGTATTTTCTCAAGCCCTTGATAAAACTTATCAATGACTACAACATTAACTGCATCCCATTAAAAACATGGATATCATATTATCAGTTTTTTAAAAAAATCATTAGCTTTATAAAATTATAACATGGTTTACTCTAAAAATGAAATTTCTGACACAGTCTATCTTTTCCATTCATCACTAATTAAAAATCCCAGTTAATTATAATAATAAAGTTTCCTAGAAATAGCTTCACTAGTAAAGGATGATAATCATAATAACATTTAAAAAACAATAAAGGCAAACATCCATTAAGTGCTTACTATGTGCTAAGCTCTTTTGTATTACTTCAGTTAATCCTCACAACAGCCCCGTTATTATCTCCATTTTAAATAGTCCAGGACACTTAGGAGCCATATGCACCCTGCTCCTTATTCATGAATTGACATTCTTAAAAAAAAAAAAAGTTCAGATGAGGCAATTAGGAAAGGGGAACAGCTTTCTAAATCATAGAGCTTTTTCCCCAATTAGCTTGAAAAAAGTCTTCAGGTAAATCTATGAAGCTAGAGAGAAAATTATTTTAAAAGGTTACCTAGATAAATGGCCTTCCTTGGAATTTTCTATCATAAATGCATTTCATATCTTAGATTAGGCTAACAAGGTTTCTGGGATCCTACCTCTTAGGAAATCTCAGTGCCTGGCTGATCCAAGCTGACCTAGGTCACCTCACTCTCCACATGGGGAAGACATCACCCTGGGTTTTGGACTCACCCTCAGTCATCTCAATCCGAAAGGCCACATACCATTCACAACTATGTTTGTGTAGGACATGCAGTGATTTCTTTGCCACCATGAGATTATAAAATGAGAAAATAAACCCAGTATGGAGTAGTTTAAGATATTTTTAATGTGAGGCTTTGGGGTTCTTTTACACTTTTTCAAAAACAGCCTGTCTGGTATGACTGAATCTCAAGTGTAGGTACATTCAACAGAGAAACTTAGTTTCAGAGGTCAGAAAGGGGACTTTGGATGATATTAAACCCCACTTCCTTACTTTACAAGGGAGGGACTAGGCCCAGAGAAGGGAAGTGATGTTCCCAAGGTCATACATGGGAGCTTAGGAAGCTTACTCAAAGCCCCTCTCCTGATCCTTTCACCACACCAGGCTGCTGTTGCTAGAAACCCGTATGACCACGTCTAGGCATGGAATTAGCAACACCTTCTGAACTCAGGTGATCATTTGGCAAGGGTCAAAAGTATTTACCAAACTCCTCTTGACATTAATTTTAGCCAACTTTGGACAAAATGATAACATTGGTGTGAAGATGTTACGACAGAGATTTCAAAGCACTCGGTTAACATTTTCTACTGATAGAGGTAGAGAACTGAAGCACCAAAAAGGTTAAAGGAATGAGGAATGGAGAAGGAACTATACTACAATAATCAGGTTATTTAAAAAGTTCGCAGCCTTCCTGTATCTTCTGAGGCTGTGGCCAGAGAGACAGAAGGCAAAACGATTCTTTTTTCACATTTCTAGCCTAACTTCCCTTCCTGAGCTTAGTGTATAAAAAATATATCACAACAAAAATTCACAGCAGCACTATTCACTATAGTTAAAAGGTAGACATAAGTCAAATGTCCATCAACAGATAGACAGATAAACAAAATATGGTATGTACACTCAATGGAATATTATTTAGCTGTAAAAAGGAATGCAATTCTGACTTATGCTGCAACATGGATGAATGCTGAAAACATTATGCTGAGTGAAATAAGCCTGTCACAAAGGGACAAATATTGCATAATACGTACATAAATCATACCTATATCATTATACATGGTATCTTGAATAGGCAACTTCATAGAGACAGAAAATAGAACAGAGGTTACCAGGGCCGAGGGGGAGAGGCGAATGGGGAGTTTTATATAATGGTTACAGGATTTCTGGTTGGGAAAATTTGGGAGATGAATAGTGGTGATGGTTGTACAGCATTGTGAATGTACTTAGTACCACTGAATCGGAAACTTTAAAATAGTTAAAATGGTAAATTTTATCTTATGTTTATTTTATCATGATAAAAATACTATATCAAAATCTGGATCATATCCCTTCATTTCTCAGTTGGAGTTCCTAAACTTTACTTTATTCATTCATTGCCATTAAAGCCCAAATTTCCTCTCAAGACCTGCTTACTACCAACAGCATCATGGTCATGGACAATTTATGTACGTTCACACACATAGATAAACACAACCGCACCTGAGTCACTTTGTGTCCTGCAGAGACCCATCACAAACACGCATCCATCCCGAGGCCTCCCACATGATGCCTCCAACAAGAAGGCCGATGGCAAAACTCATGCAGCCAATTTCTGGAGATCCTGGCAACCAAATACCCTGATGCAGAGTCTCAGCACGACCCTTAAATTCCTCACAATGGGGCGCAGGGGATATATATTTAGTATATGGGTACTCTATAGTTTGTAAAGAAAGCTGTGTGCATATACCAGGAAGACCTTCAGGAATTGCTAACCCAAGTCTGCTCCACCAGGCCCATGAACAAAGAGATTTCAGCCCATACATGGCTATTTGGTAAACTCAGCAACTGCATGTTACACTGAACAGTGGGTGTCCTTAATGCAAATACATATAATTAGGAGCTAAATCTTTGTACCTTTACAGGACAAAGGATATAATAAGAAGGATGTACCACATGTGACTTCTGAGGAAAGGAGAGCTTTTCATTCTTCCTTAAAAGAATCTATTTCTCATGAGGCAAAAAGAATCTGAGAACAAGAGTCTTTTGAAATAGAAGCAAGGAGGAGGGTGCAGATATGAGTTTTGTGTGTTATAGTCATAGCCGATCACTGGGCATGAGAGGTGTCAATTTTGTGCCATACCATGACCTTTACTCAACTTTAATTTAAACGTTTTTACAACCTCATCTTCTTTCATGGAAACCTTTTCATTGCCAACTGGTCTGAAAACTGAGTCCCATAAGCTTTTAAAGATCTCAAGAGTTCGTAAAGAAAAACAATCTCTAGTGATACTTTCCATTGCCAACACACATGGACATTTAGCACAAATAAGCTGCCACTTGTAAGAAGTCCACTTGACTTCATTCCCTTGTGCATCCTAAAGGCACGTCAAGATCACACTAAGATATTTAGAGGCAAACATCTTTAGAATAAGGTTTCATTCCCAATCAAAGTGCTTAATTAGCAGAATCACTATGCTAGAGAACTGTCCTTGAATATGCACGCATTTTAACCTCCATGTTATTTTTTTCTGAAGCACAAATTTTGCTCTCACTGGATAGTCAGGAAATGATTGGGCACGGAAAACCGACTCTCTTAGGTGTCGATCCACAAAATGAGGTCCATCTTTCCAAGCAGGTTTCAGCTGCCTTACAGGGTGATATCCTGGTTTATGAGGAGACCATTTTTTGGAGTCCAGTGGCCTTTTCTCCATTCTCTTTGGATGAGCAATGCCTCTATGGCCTAGTTATGGCTGAACTCTTTCAACACTTCCGCCAACTTCTTCTGCCCCCTCGTGCGATCCTCCCACCCCCAATTTCAACCAATCATGTTTGCAAGACATCAGTCAGTAAATCACAATTCAAATGAACCCCTCCATTTGTTCAGCAGAAAGTGGCCTGTGGTGTTGCTCCACGTAAAGCCCACAGGCCAGAGTTACATATGGCAGGCTTGCAAACACGACCAGGATATGATTTATTTATGATGACCATGTGTATTTGTTGCCCAGTTCCAGAAGGCTGTGGCTTCCCCTGCCTGCCTCAGTCTGGGATGACCTCTCTAATCTCTGTGTCCTATTTCAGGTACTTTTCATGCTGGGGAAAGAGAGATGGGCTACCGGCTGGGGGGCTGCACACACAGATGTCCCTAATCCTGCTGGTCACATAACAATCTGTGACCACGCATAGAGTGGGCCCAATGTAACTTGCTGCAAAGGTCGGCTATGTACCATGGGCTTCAGTGGAGAGTGGAGCAGTAGCTGCTGGAATGACTGACCATGTGGGGTTCATTAAACTGTGTGTATTTACCCACAGGAAGGCTGGGACGCTTGTGAGGGGAGCCCCACGCCTCTTTGCACAGGTTCAACCCCCCACCATTTGGCAATGATGCTGCAAAGGTGAATAGCAGATAGGTATCAGAAGGTCCAAATGTGGGCTTCAGCTGAAGTGCAGTCAACTTCTGCCTCCAACAGTCTCCCCCTCTTTACCCCCCAGTTGTATTTATACTTTGAAAGAAGTTAACACGAAGCAGTAGTCACCTGGGTGTGCTCAATTTTTGACAAGCCTTAGTCACTCTGTACCCAGCAGAACAATTCACATTATAGTCGAAATCCTGTGAAGATTCTGCCACACATGCTAACACTAAAATGCCAGTAGCTCCACTTACCTTCTTTATTAAGCCTCATAACCTCCCTGCTTTTTCCACCCTCTTTTCCAGCCTCTTCTAAATCTACATCTGCAGATGAAAAAGAAAAAGAGAAAATAAGGAAAAAAAGCAAAAAAAAGGGGGGGGGGAGCCAAAGTCAAAGGGGGAAGGGAGAGTGTTTATTTGCACACAGATGGATATAAATACTGTATATGAAAATCTTTCCAGAATTGACAATGCAACGTTTTCTCCCAAGTCCGGATTTCCATCTACCTGGCCCAGTTAGGTACCAAAAAAACTATGCAAGCAGCAACAGAGTAGCCTTTTAAACAGATACACCGTGGGGCTGTGAAAGCCCACCCCGCGGGATGCCACGGGGAGCCGGGCACAGACAGACAGACAGACAGCCCTGGCAGCAGGGCCTCTCTCTGTGCATTGATGATCTGTCTCTGTGTGTATTTATTTAGAGAGAGAGAGGGAGAAGCATGGAGGACACCGGGGGCCACTCTCTCTCTCTCACACACACACTTTTTCCCAGTGGCTCTAGGTGAATGGAAAGGTTACAGGATAATAAAAGGAGGAGGAGGCGGTGGGGTTCTTACTGTCGGAGCAGTGTAATTTGGCGGCGTCGATCCAGGAGGACCAGGGTTTGCCCAGAAACGCCTCCGGACTGGGCACTTTGCGATCCAGTGTCGCCATTGCTCTTCCTTCTTGTTGCTTTTTCCCTGTTCCTTCGGCAGCAGCAGCCGAGAGACACGGGATTCGAGAACGCTCCGACGTCATCTTCGGAACGTTCCGACATTGAGTGTTCTGAAAGGGGGAGGAGGGAGGGACGAGCAGAGGGAGGCGGGGAGGAGGAGAGAGGGAGAGGAGGAGGAGCCGGCGCCCGAGCGCCCGCAGCCGACTGGGCTCGGCTCGCTGGGTGCACGGCCGCCAGAGGCAGCAGAGAGGCTCCCGAGCTCCGCGCCCGCCCGCCGGGGAGGGGCCGCGCGGCCACACCAGCGCCGCGTGCGGGGGACCAGAGGCTGCCGCGCGCCCGGGCGCGGAGCTGCTGCGCCGCCGCCGCCACCGCCTGCACCCGGCGGCCCCGAGCCGGGGTCGGAGGGGCCGGGGCGGGGCGCGGGTGGCTGAACCAGGACAGGCAATACCTGGGGCCGTAAGAAGGATGGTCTTACCCGCAGAGTTGCCGCTAGAAGACGGAAAGTTTTTGCACGCAGCCCTTCCAGCGTGTCCTTCCCTAGCCAGGTCTCTGTCGCCCACAGTGAGGCGCTCCTGCGGGAATCCCCGCGGCTCAATGGGGAGGAGGCGAGCTGCTTTGCACCCTCTTTACCACCCTAAACCAGAGAGGGGACCCTGGTGACTTCCCCTCCAAGCCACCACCCCCTTTACCCTTTCTTCTCTTTCACGGTGGACCTTGGATCGTGGTGGATTCTGCGGAAGCCTTTGGGAGGTGAGACTGGAGGGTAGATGGAAGTGGTTCTAAAAAGCAGGTGAGTTTGGGGCGAGAGGAGCTGTCTTCCCATCTCAGGCTGCGGGACATGGAAAGCTCAAAACTCAGCGCCCGGTGCCCCCAGGTTCTCTGCGCGATGCGCATCTCCGGCTCGCAGAGAACCACTGAGTAGACTTTGCTCCGGGATCACGATAGCGGGAGAGCAATTCACCCGCTCCTGGAACGTGACGCTTAGTGGGCCGAGCCCCTGGAGCAATTTTCAGCGCTCCCTACGGTGAGACGAGGGTGGCCGCGACTAGCGCAGGAAACCTGCGGCCAGGAATCGGACTACTGGAGGAATTCACTTTAGACTTAGATGCTCCAGCCAGCTAGAAAGAAAGCGTTAGATTTCCTCAGGATTCTGGACGTCTGATGCTTTGACATTTCCCCCTCTCCCGAGGGGTTGGCAATAAAGGCCTGAAAAGGTCTTCTGGTATTTTTTTTTTAATCCTTTTGTTTACTCGGACTTACCCGAAACATGGGCACTCCCCCACAATACTATATTTTTTCCTCTATTTCTCCAGCACCCTTTTCGTTCTTACCATTTTGGTTTCTGCCTATGGCTGAAGCGCACCAATTTGAAGTTGCTCTGTACTGACTTGGTTCTTCTCTGGCTGTGCCATTTAATTTTCCTGCACTTGGCATCCTGTTCCTCAGAGCCAGGGTTAGGATGGGCGATGGAGGAGGAGATGGATTGGTCTTCAGTTGTGAAGTTTGTGTGAATGGGCTTGGTTTTTGTCAAACCCAGATAAATTTCATATGCCTTTGCTCTCTTTGGAAGAGTTCCTGCATAGGAACCACTAAGTGGCTAAGGTGCCACTGGGTGAAGAATTGTCATTTTAAGGATTGGTGGTGTTAACAAATATTTATTACTTATTGACTTCTTACATATGCTAGACACTGTACTTAACATTTCCTTCCTTCCATCCTTCCTTTCTTCCTTCCTTCCTTTCTTCCTCCCTCCCTTCCTTCCTTTCTTCCTCCCATCTACCCATCTTTTTTGAACAAATATTGCCTGTCATGGACCAGCTGCCCTTAGCAGAGGTAGACAAATGAGACCCAGTCTGGCTCTTGGAGAGATGCAGTCTGGCGGTCTCTGTGGAAGAAGAGAGATGTGAAACTTAGCAATTTCTTGGGAAAACAAGACATGTACACAGTGACTGGCCAGGGCAGTGAATGGCATGTCTCTGAGAGCTGTGCCTGTTCATAGGAAGGACTGAAATCTAGTTTGGACTGATCCGAAAAGTTGTGACAGAGAGGATGGGATCCATCTGCTTTATATGTTGGAAATTGGGAAGTATTTATAATGGTAAGGTGAAGACTGGTCTTGCCGAGGGAAGGAGGGTGATGGCTTCAAGCTGGGTATAAACCTGATGTGTTTGGATGTTGACCGTGGTTTACCTGGGATGATGGGTTACTATTTGGGGTTGGGAGTGATGAGTTTGTATATTCAGACCTGGGTCAAATTATGGAAGGCACTGAATGGTAGCCTAAAGAGTTTGGATTTGTTTGATGATGGGGAGCCACTAAAGGGGCTTTCTGCAGTGTTAGGATAAGTAGAAAGTGTGACTTAGAAAGATTACTCTGGCCTTGGTGCTTAGGGTGTATTGGACCATGGCAGTTGTTTAGAAAAGTAGTGTTACACCACTCATAGTGTGAAGAAATGAAGGCCTGAACTTTAGTGGTCCCATGCAAGTGGAGAAGAGGGGACAGGTTAAGAGACTCTATGGAGAAAGCATCTTATCAGAGGGTATGTTGTGTGGCAGGATTTTGGGAGAATAATAGGGAGAGACAGAGAGAAAGAGGGATGGAGAATGAGCTGTGAGTCATAAGTAGTTAGATCCTGGATCATTTTCCCTTCCCCCTACTACTTTCTGATTCCTTCCATTTTGGTGTTTATTCCCCTATTGTTGTGCATGCAAGGGAAGATACGGTTGGCAGCCTCTGAAATGACTCCAGTGATCCCCACATCATGGTATTCATATCCTGGTGTGATCCCCTTCCCTTCCGTGTGAGTTGGACCTAATGACTTGCTTCTAACAAAGAATATGGCAAAAGTGATGCAATGTCACTTCTGAGGAAAACAATGGCTTCAGTCTTGCTCTCGCTGGCTTGCTTTAAGGAAGCCCCCTGTCATGTGATGAGCTGCCCTGTGGAAGGGTGCTTGTGGCAGGAAACTGAGGGAGGCCTCTGGCCAACAGTCATCGAGGAACTAAAGCCCTTAATCCAAAAGCCCGTGAGGTGCTGAGTAACTGTCACCGTCCACGTGAGTGACTTTGGAAGCTTTTCCTCCTCCAGGTGAGCCTTGAGGTTAGACTACAGTGCTGACCCACACCTGTGCGAGACCTTGAGGCTAGAGGCACTCAGCGAAGTCAGGTCTGTACTCCTGACCCACATAAACGGTGAGAGTACTAATGTTTGCCATTTTAAGTTAAGTTTTGGGGTAACTTGTTACATAGCAATACGTTACTGTAGAATGGTATGAGTATAAAGTGATTAAATAACAAAACATTTATCAGATAAATAAGTTTAAAGAAGGAAAAATCTGAGCAGTGTTCTCTTGTTCCGCTTTGAGCCTCCTGTGAATTGTGTATCATCTTTCTCAGAAATTTTTGGCCAGCCTTGTGGGACTAGTTAACACTAGTATTTCCCCACTCTGAATTTTGTAATTTGTCTTTATCCTTTCACTACTTAAGTTTTTGCTATGTAAACTCAGTTGTTACTTTGTAGAAAGAATTCTCCAATGGCAAGGTCATGATGTAACTTTAGAGACAAAACTTACTGATAGCAATGTCACCACACTGGTGGCTGTTACAACCCTGCCCTCCTGGAGACGTGTGGCATGTACAGTGATGAAGGGACTTGAGCCCAGTGGCTGGGAGTCACTGACTTGAGCTTCCAGAAAATTCTGTCTCCTCTCCTGGGAGCCACTTTAAACCACTCAAAAATCAAAGGTGGCTTTTTGTTAGATGAAGTCAGGGCACCACAGTTGAAGAGAAGGCAGTGGTTTGGTATTTTAACATTAGCTTACTCCCCCAGCTGAGTCTCTCAACTAGAGGTTATTTCTGCACAGCACCCTGAAAATAGTATGGCAGCCTAAATATTATTCTCTCCTAGCTGAGAGGATTTTACTTTGCAACATAGCAAAGAATGGGCTGGAATCTAAACGTGATTTAGCATCTCTACAAAATAAGACTGGTTACATTGACATTTTTAACTGATAATCAGAATGGGTATACATTACTGCACTTAGAGTTATGGAGTTAATTGTAGAGTTTCTACTTTAAGCCTTCCACAGCTTCTCCACTGACTACAGAGATAATAATACAAACTTTGTGAAACTATAACCCACCTATCACTTTGTAAATACTATAACATGGCTGTCAATTAAATTACACTGCTAGGAGCCAGAGAATGAAAAAAGCACTCATCAAACTACTGGACTTTCACACCAGACTGTAGACAAAAATTGAGGTCAGCTAGGGGTAGTATTCAGGTTAACATGGTGCATATATATTATAATATACACATCTATACTTACACATGTGTCAACAATGTATATTGCAAATTTATTGCAGACTTGAATTCCTTTTGGTAGTAAATAGTTACAAATACTGTTATTGACAGTAAGAATCTTACACATTCTTAATAGGAATAAATTGACCTGAAAAACAGTAACTTAAGGCACATTAGCTAAATGTTTATGTGATAAAATTCTTTAGCAAAGGTATAACACCTTCTTCCCCTCATGATTATGTTTAGGAAGATAAAAGGGATGTAAAGATTTTTATTGTTTTATTATCTTAGAAAACTGACAGTGGTTGGTCTAATTAAAAAGCAGGCTCTCCATAGACCAAATAAAGAAATCAGTTCAACAGAGATGACAGTGGGAAATACCTATTTAATTTGAGTAACACCTGGTTCTGTAGAAATGTGCATTGAATATGTAGCCTGCATTCATTTTGTCTGATTCATGCGCTGTTTCACCACATTATTGAAAAGAAGAGAAGAGGGACTATTAGCTCTCTCATTGGAGGATATACACTCCTGCTGGGGTCGAGGCTGTATGCACACCCTACTCCCTACCTAGACTGTTGTTGGGAGTTACCTGGAGGCGCCAAGGAGAAAATGACATGTTCCATTAAAATGAGGCATCCTTGGAATTGTTTAACGTTCTTTGCCTTAATTGAATCCATCTCTCCCATCTGCCACTCTTCTCTCTACATTTATTTCCCTAACCCACTCTCTCTGAGAATTGTAATTCTGGGGGAAATTTGTTACATACGTTGTTCCCTTTTATAAAAGCTCTCTGCATCTGGAGCGCAGGTGCGCTGTCTCCCTGGCCTTGTCAGACAAGGCTGCCTGCCTCTTCTCTGCCCCCGCACATGTTGCTGGATCAAACAGGACTGGGATAAAAGACCCCCAGTAGCAACAGGAGTAGGAAGGAAAATAGGCGTTTCAGGCTTTTGAATATAGCGCCTTAGCCATGTGCTGAATAAATATGGGCTCAATAAATATAACTACAAAAACTTGAAATTTGCATTCTGACTGGAGCAGAAAAACACAAGTGTGTTATTATTTTGAGGTGTTATTATTTTGAAACCCCTAGCAGGTTCATCTGTGACTTTGATCACCTGGGGTTCCCTTGAACTGCTCTGACGCTGCAGGTTCAGACCTCTGTTCCCCAGAGTGTGGCAGAGGCAGCCCCATTCCTAACCACTGCTCTTTCTCAGGGGTTAGACAGGAGAAAAGAGAGCTTCTCATTAGCATTCCTTTTTTGTTTGTTTGTTTTGTTGTTGTTTTTTAAGATTTTATTGGGGAATTGGGGAAGGGGAACAGACAAGTGGCTGTCCTTTTTTTCTTCAGTCTAGTTGTGGAGGACGTTGCTTCACTGGCCCATGTTGGTATTATCATTGCGCTCTTCCCGGGTGAGGCAGATCGGTCGCCGGCCATTGGACAGCCGCTCACCGCAGCTCACCGCAGCTCACTAAAGTGCACACCCACTGCTGGCCAGCCCCACTGCAGCCTATGCCGTTGCCAGTGACTCAAGCAGCCCAGCTCCAGGTCGAGCTGTTGTTCACCATCTTAGCTGTAGAGGGCGCAGTGTCACTGGCCCTCATGTGGGACCTGAACCTGGGCCCTGCTGCTCAGAGCTGGCGTCCCAAGCCAACTTCTAACGAACGCGCCACCCGGCCAGCCCTCATTAGCATTCTTGTAGAAATCATTTGGGGGTCTTATCCCAAATATAAATAAATACAAATTTAACATTAATGTACACATATTAATTGGAGCAAGGCCCACACACTCCTCCAAACTGACCATTTAATATAGTTAAGAACGCAGTGCAGGGCGGGGGCCAGAGCACAAGCTTGAGACTGGCAGGTGTACATTAGAATTGCTCTGCAATCATTTGCTTGAGAGCCTTTCTTAATCCATCTGAACCTCAGTTTCCTCATCTGTTAAATGGGTACAAAGGCTCTTCAGTGTGTTGTGAAGACTAAGTGAGATTCTGGGTATTGAGCCCTCAGCATAAGGCCTGGCACACAGTGGGCAATTGTAAAATGTCCGCTGTGGTTATTACTTTAGTGGCAATGCATCGTATAGACAACAGCAGCCAATGAGAAGGAGGCTGACCCTCTGATGCTAGGAGGGCTCAGGTGATTGCTGCTGACAAATGTCCTCCTTTTTTACTGGCTTGCTTCTCTGCGTCACTTGGTGGGATCCTCTGAAACTTCTTTTGCCTGAAACTTCATCTGGACAAGGACTCCAGGGCAGAGCAAATATCCTTTGTTCAGGGAAGACCCTTTAAGACCTTTCAGTCATGTAAAGGAACTGCGAAATCCAGTCTTCTTGAAGACAAAACTGCCTTTGCATGACAATGTAAACAGTTGTCTTCATAGTAAGCAGAGTTGAGTTCTGCCAATTATTTTTTTCTGAGAAAAATTTTCATTTGTAAAAGAAACTCAATATTGGATTCTAAAAATCATGTATGAATGTGTTCTCATGGGATAGTAAAATAATAGAGATAGGGGAAAATTCCCTTTGAGTATCTCCTTCAAACGTGGTAAAGGCATTTTTCATACCATTTTTTATACATTTACTTACCATATATATTTATCATTATAGATATAGGTGATATTGCTGTGTGTTTTTAAAAATATGAATAACATAATTATGTGAAGATATATATATACACACACACACACACACACACACACACACATATAGAGGGTGCCAAAAAAATGTATACACATTTTAAGAAAGGAAAAACTGTTAAAATTAGGCTGATGGTAACCACTTTGAGCACCTCTTGTAATTGCAGAAGTCACATGTGACTTGTATTCATCTTTTGTTTTCGGGATACATTATTACAATTTTAATACAGTTTTTTCCTTTCTCAAAATGTGTATACATTTTTTTGGCATCCTCTTATGTTAATTGTATTTTCACTTTGTAAATTGCCGTTAATATCTTCTGATGATTTGTTACTGGTATTTTTAGATCTTTTTATTGATTTGTAGAAATTCTCTATACATTCTAAATTTAGATCTTTTGTCTGTTTGAAAATAATGTACTTTTCCAGCTTGTTGCTTTTTTTCTTTATTAAAAAAACATTTTTTAAAGATTTTATTGGGGAATTGGGGGAGGGAACAGCTTTGGGGAATCGGGGTAGGGGAACAGACAAGTTACTGTCCTTTTGTTCTTCAGTCTAGTTGTGGAGGACGTCTCATCACTGGCCCATGTTGGTATTGTGATCATTGCACTCTTTCTGGCTGAGGCAGATGGGTCGCCAGCCATTGGACGGCCGCTTACAGTGGCTCACGGCGGCTCACGCTGGCTGCCGGCTGCTCACGGTAGCTTATGGCAGCCCACTGCAGCCCCACTGCAGCCTACGCCGTCGCCAGCGACTCACGGCAGCCCAGCTCCAGGTCGAGCTGTTGTTCACCATCTTAGCTGTAGAGGGCGCAGTGTCACTGGCCCATGTGGGATCCGAACCGGCGGCCCTGCTGCTCAGAGCTCGAACTCCTGAGCCAACTCTTAACCAACGAGCCACTTGGCTGGCCTGTTTTTCTTCTTTTAACCTTGTTTATGGCATCTTTTCTGTACTTTGTTTATTCTTTTTTTCAGTTTGGATGTATCAGACTTTTCCTTTCTTTCGTTTTTTGTGTCTTGCTTAAAAAGATCTTCTGTTTTTGAAGGCCTTAAAATATTTTCTTGTATTTTCTCTTTATGCATTATACGTTTTTTGTTGTTGCTTTGTTTTTCTTTTACATTTAGACCTTAGACTTTTTTGGTTAATGGTATGAGGTAAAAATTTAATTTTTGATCTTTTTCCAAACAGTAACCAATTTTACCCAGCCATATATTGAATACCCTTTCTGTAGACAGCTATCATATATTC